AACCAACCTTTCATGAACTAAATGTCATTCTTCAGTGGAGCAAGGAAACTCCTAAGTAAGGTATCAAATAGGGAGAAAAACCATGAAATCTTCTTTTGTCAAAACTGCAAGAGGCCTTAGAGCTTGAGCCGCATTAACTTCTTCATTGCCTTTCTGCAGGCTTCAAATCCTTTGTTTATCCTGAAACTCAGCACAACACCAGGACAAAAAGAGCAAATGAGGTCCCTAGCCTACCTTCCTATACAAGCACCACCTGGCTCGACCAGAAGCCTTCTATGTTCATGTATGGACAAGTCAGTCAGCATGTCTAAGCTCCATCCACATCTCTCCATTAAGCCTCAGGCCAGTAACCTGTCCAGTAAGTACTGAGTGGATACCTACGAAGTCCCTGGAATGGAATCAGTCATTTGGACAGGTGCATCTTGGGTCCCAAGTATCCACAGTGTGATCTAGAAAGAGAGTCAGAAGCTCTAAACAGTCCTTGTGCCATAAGGGAGAGGAGGCAAGGCAGAGGAGGATCAGAGTAGGAGTTCTAAAGTCAGAGACTTGGGACAAGGGCCTTAGTCAAAGGATGGCACTGACTTCTAAATATAGAAAATACTGCCGGGAGCAGTTTGTCATGGTCTGCACCACTGATCAGAAAGTTCTAGACCGTTCAAATTGAACAAAATAAATCAAGTGATTAGAATAACACAAGAACAACCTTGAAATGTTCCTGAGTTAAGGAAAAAAAAAGATTAATGTTGCATGATTTTAAAAGAGAAAAATATTAAAAGCTTAACCTGTCTTGGTAATTCAAGCAGTTTAAGTATAATCAGGCATTGTATAACATTTGAAACTTTAAAGATTAGTCAATAAATTTTGAGAGAAAGATGTTTGAAGTTTTTCTAAACTTCTGACCACCTCCCCCCACCCCCTCATCTTTTATATGTACTGATGGAGGCAAAAGTTAACGCTAAAATTTTAGACAAAATGTACCTGTTCTATTTCTTCCACGCATGTAATGATTCAACTCACTGCCACTGAGTTGATTCCAACTTGATATTCTTTATTTGTGCTCATCTAAAAATAACTACATTAAAAGCAAAATCAAAAACGTATGTGATGCAAGATTTGATCCACCATACTCTTATCTCATTTGCAAACATCTAAGAACTGCTGGCAATGTTAAAGGGAGAGAATAGTATTTATCCAATTATCATTGCTCAGCAACATAAGGGAACATGATAAGGCCTATGCAAATGAAGTTTCCTTTTTTTTTTACCCCTAAGTGTCCACAGTAGGAGCTCTGGTGCCATAGTGGTTTATTTGATGGACAGCTAACCACAAGGTCAGCAGTTTGCATCCACCAGCTACTCCACGCGAGAAAGGCAAATCTTTCTACTCCTGTAAAGAATTGCTGTCTCAAAAATTCACAGAGGCAGTTCTACTTTGTCCTGTGGGGTTGCTATGAGTCCGAATCAACTCAATGGCAGTGAGTTGGGTTTGAAAGTGTCAACAACAGGCTAGTGTCCAAGTTGGCCCAAAGAATAATGAGCCTCAGCCTCAGTGCCATGCACTCTAACAAACTGGGTGTGAAGCAGTAAATTGGGCCACACATCTAAGAAACACCAAGAGCAAGGCAGGAAGCTGTTTGTAAGGGAAAAGCAGGGTTTCTCAAGTCTTGTGAAGTTTTCATGCAGAATAATCTTGCTGCTAAATGTCATCGAGTCTATCCCAACGGATAGCTACTCTGCAAAAGAGTAGATCTGCCCCCGTAGTTTCCCAGGCTGTCATCTTCACAACAGCCAGCTAGCCGCCTCGTCTCTCTCCCTCAGAGGAGTGAGTGAGTTCAAACCGCCTCTCTTTCCATTTGCTGCCAGGTCTTTAACCACTGCACCAGGATTCTTGAAAATTCTTAGCAAGTTAAATATATGAAAGGTAAACCGTTCCCACGCAAACCTTTCCTTCCTTCCTTCGTGTATCTGTGCCTTCTTTTTAGTTATGAACTGTCGGGGAGCTGGGTAGTGTCAGACAGCGATCCCTCCTCTCAATCCCACTTTGAATGATATTCAATTGAATGTATTCATAATGCATTCAATTGAAGTGAGTGGATATCTGAAAGTTTCTCCAGAAGGTAAGCAAAAATTTAAACATCTTGAGAAGTCATAACAGATTAATCTGTTTGGGATTTTCCTTGTTTTGTTTCATAAACTGATCTTGAATAAAATACTCGTTACTATTGGTGGAACAGTACTGACTGGGCCTGGGAAGCCTTAATGGTTCATAAAAAAAAAAATCCAATGCACTCTAACTGTGATCGTCATTTCTCTTGGCTCAGAATCACTCTCTAGTCATATGTAAAAGGCACTCTTCCATGACATATTTTTAAAAATATACTTGTGAAATGAATAGCTATATAGTTGTTTTGCTACTATGATCTACATCTCTGTATTCTGTATACTACCTGAGAATATACTCCTGTAGAATATACACATGTAGTATATGGCAATAAACAAACAAACCCTTGTAAATGCTTGACCTGAATGGCTCAACGTGTAACCTTTTGATGTGCAGTGTAGCTCTCCCTCTCGATTTTGACAAGGGAAATGATTTCAATGTTGTTTCAGGACTATTGACTGAAATTATGCTTTCCCTTGAACATACCATTGTCCTAAGCCTTATTTATTCATGGTGAAAGAGGAAGGGAGAGAAATGGACACATGAGCTCACACGGATATTGAGCGAGAGCGAGAACGTTCAGGCACGCCAACAGCGTGCAGTGGTTATGCGTCAGGCTGCTAACACCAAAGTGAACAGTTTGAAAGCACCAGCCTCCCCTCCCCGAGGGGGAAAGATGAGGCTGCCTGCTGGAAAGTAACCATCTCCGAAATCCACAGGGCAGTTCTACTCTCTCCTTTAGGACGGCTTTGACTCAGCATCGGCTTGATGGCGCCAAGTCTGCTTTTGGTTTGGGGGCTGGATCTAAAGTAACAGCACAAAATCACCGGAGTCAGACCCTTTGCATCAACCCACTTAATTTACCTTACATCGGGATGAAGTGAGCCTTGTACATATAATCATGCCAGTTTCAAATATCAAAACAGGCCTGAAGGTTTAAGTACATAGAATTAATCATTAGTAACCAGAAGACAGGGGTTTCTGTTCCCATAGTTAGTCTTGGAAACCCACAGTTCTCCCCCATCCTACGAGGTCACTGAATTGATATTGACTTGATGGTAATGAGTCTGGTTTTGGACCCTGAAGATCTGAACATACAGCTTTCGGGCGCCAGATTTGTGTTTCTTTATACCATGTGGCTTCTGTGAGCTCCTGTCTTTGAACTTTATGCTGATTTATTTCTTAGACCATTTGGATATATCAGAGACACAAGAGACTGTATCCTGACATTTGGTGCTGCCCCGCTTATCGTTCTATATTAATGATTAACTTTGGCTGGCAACGGTCAGCAGCCCGTTTTCACACTTCCCTATTTTCCACTGCTGCTATAAACTGATAGTAGTAGACTGAGCTGCCTGAAGCAAGAGGTTTTTTAAAATTACTTTTTGTAAACTGTAAAGCTATATGCAGTGGGACTCAAGCTTACTGACCTGAAAGAATACCTCGTTACTTCAAAACTGTAAAACGAAGTTTATCTAACACCCGTCTCTCCCCAAAATGATACTGACATAACAAATATGTAGTGCACGGAGTTCTCTATCTTCCTTAGCTCTGGCGCCCACCTGCCCAGACTGGCTCAGTGGAGATGTGGGTGTCCAACAGGCTGCAGCTCCACAAGGTTTGGTTTTCCCCAGGGGACGAGCAAAAGCAAGCAAAACTCCCCTTATATCATGCTTTCACATTGAACATAAACCTTGTAAGAACACCCCCCACCCCAGCAAGTGTGAGGGCTAGTGGCTGTTGGCCTTTGTTCTCGAGGGAAAGAAGTTGGTCCCACTTCTGCCAGTTTTGAAACGTTTAGTATTTACAAAGAGTGTTTGCCTCAAAACCCTTCAGCTTGTGATTAGATTTATTTAAAAAAATGAAGAAGAAAAAGTCAAAGAATTGAAAGATCTGTCCAACTCTCACACGCTTCGTGAACTTTCGGTGGACAAGGCAGAGCGGTGTATCTTGGCACTGGATTGGAAAAGAAAACTTGGAGGTAAACTTGTCAGTAACTGCTTTCAGAAATAATACCAAATTCAGAGAGGAGCAACCAGCTCCTTGAGGGGAAACTTCTTTTTATTTTTAAACTTTGGGTAAAATAATCATGAAAATGGTTTCTATTTCACTACCAAGCCATTCACTGGCAGATTAAAGAGCCACAAACGTCGGTCAAGTTCAGTTAATGCATGGACTATTTTTATTTTCAGAATGTCGTCTACGTCTGGGATTAAAAAAGTTTTAAATAAACTGAAGACATTTAGAACAGCAGTGGGACCCTTCGTCGTTCTACAGACAGTCCGCATCGAAGTTCAGTTGGTTCCATTCAGCTACGTCCCCTTTCTCATTTTCAAGTCATTCTTTTCACTGGCCAGCTCCAAGCCGACGCATCGCCAGCTTACGCACACTGGGGGCGGGGTGGGTGCCACAGGACAACTGTACAGTGTAACAGAAAATTATTAATAAAAGTAGTACCGGTTCCCGACAGACAGTGCTGTTTTGTGCGCTTATCACAATGGAATCGCCGAAGTTTCAGAGCAAGGAGCAGATTCGAAATCTTTAAGAAAGAAGCCCTGTTACAAAGAGAAATAGTGCAAACAGGAAAGAAAACTGATGCAATCATAGCAACACCACAGCCTCCACCGGCCCAACAGCAGGGCGGCGGGAGGCTATGCGCCCCGCCTTCCCCTGCGCCCGGCTCGGGAGGCGCTCCCAAGTGTGGCAATCCAGCGCCGCGCCCTGGCACTGCCCCCTTCTCCTTCGGAAAGAACAGAAAAGAAACTCCAGGAAAGGCACAGAGCGAATGCGGGGCGTTAGCCCAGTCCCACCAGCAGAGAACAGAGCCCCCCCCCCGCCTCAGGGAAGGGGTGGGGTACTTTGAACCTCCCCTCTTCCGCCATGGCTTCCTTCTCCCTACAGAATCCCCTCCTGCACGCAGCCCCGCTGAGTCCTCAGCACGCCAGCACTCCCCCGACCTTGCCGGCCGCCCTTCGCGCCCCGCAGCCAGGAAGAAAAGAGAGAAGGTGAGAGGCAGGGCTGGGGAGGGCCTGGGCAGCCGCGGGCGCCCCGCCTCAGTGGCCCCAGTTGCTAAAGCCGATCTCCTGTTTGTATCGATTGGTGAGGATGTTGGCTTTGCGTGTGAGTTTGGAGAGCACCATGTGCAGCCCCCGCAGGTGGTAGTGGAACTGCCGCTCCAGGTCCTCCTCGCCCCCGTCCGCGCCCTCCAGGTGGCTCAGGTCCACCAGGATGTCCTTGGACTTCCAGGCATTGCCCTCCTCGCTGCCGGCCGCCGGCGGCGGCTGGTGCAGGACCCCCCACTCGATATCGTTGCGGATGGACTTGAGCAGCATGTAGTGGCTGTACATGTCCCGCGAGGGCGCGAAGAAGCTGCTCTGGGCGCTGCCCGGGCCCGGGGCTGGCGGCGTGCGCTCCTCCAGGCAGCCGCCGCCGCCGCCCACCTCCACCCCGACGTCGTTGTCGAGCCCGGGCTCGGCCAGAGGCACGTCGCGCAGCAGGCTGGGCACCATTACCGTCTGGTCCATGTTGTTCACGGCGCCGATGAAGCGATTCATGGCGTTAAAGAGCGAGTGTTTCTGGTTGTAGGTGTCACAGATCTGCATCATGGTGGCCGTGGGCGCGCAGGGACACAGGAACCTTAGGCTGTGACGAGGGCTTCACCGCCTTCACACGCTCCCCAGGGCCCGCGTCAGGGGTCCTGGTTCTAGTCGGAGCCGCGGGATTCCAGCTCCTGGTTCGCCGGCTCCAACTCTGGTCTCGCTCGGTACCCGGCTTTGGGGGATGTGCAGCTACCAGAGGCTCGGGCGTCCGGAAGCTCGCGACGCTGGTGGGTGGTCCTAGACCGAGCTCCGTCTGGCCTGGTTGGGAGAAGGGGACAAAATGGATCATTCACCGAGCTAAGGTGCCCAGAGTCCTCAAACAGGCTCACAGCCCTCTCCGGCTGCTCCCGGACAAGAAAGGCACCCGGGTGGCTCTCCGCCAGGGGCGGTCCCACTTCCTTGTCCGCCAAGAGCCGCCGAAAGAAGGAAGGTGGGCATCCAGTCTCCTCCTGAAAAGCGCGAACCCAAGCCCCCGTGTTAGCTAGGGAAGCCATGGCGCGGGGGTACCTACCTCCTCCGGTGCCCCGCGATTCTCCGCTCCGAGCACCTCAGAGTGCTAGCTGCCGGCGACTGCTACCCACGGACGCTGCTGCGGTCAGTGGCCGGACAGTAACTGAGAGTGCTGATGGTTTGAGTTGGCCCCCTACCCATACCAGGTGCTCAATTTATAGCCGGAGCAAGGAGTCTCAGGCACTCTGGGCCACTCCTGGTGTCTCCTCCTCCCGCCTCCCCTGGCAGCGCCTAGATAAAAGGCCCGGGACGGGATGACCGCGAGTAACACTCTCCTGGCCCTTTCCACCGCGGAGGCGGGGCGAGCCGGGCTCGCTCCGCCTCTCGCCTGATACCCGGTGGAGGGAGGGCGCCCGGGCTGGGCAGGGCAAAGCAAGAGGACCAGGACTAGCCGCGCCCCGCCACCACCAAGCCGGAGCCGGCCGCTGGGGGAAGGGCCAGGCACCCTGGGCTGAAGGCGCTGGCCTCAGAATGGGCTGGAGGGCGGGCTGCCCCGCGGGGGCAGAATGGCCCCGCGCGCAGAGCCGGGGCGTGCAGGATGACCCAAGTGGGAATGCATGTGCCCTGGTTGTAAAGGGAGCTCCCCACCCCCACCCCCGCACCAGTAGTGGCTATCCCACCCCCACCCCAGCACTAGTAGGTAGCTAAGGCTCAGAAACTGCCCCCACCACCACCCCGGTTTATTCTTAGCCACCAGGGAAGAAGTGCCTACCACAGAGGCCAACTCCATCCCGGGATTCTTACGTAAGAAGGGCGGCCAGGCATGCAGTGTGCACGTGGACGCTTAGTGCCCCTGGCCTCAGCCTGCTGCGGGAGGAGGGGAGTCGGGTGGCTTTTGCCATTCCTCCAGGTTGAGCCCTTCATAATCTTTCCTGTACCATCTACTGCTGGGATGGAGAATGACCCACCATTGGATCTACAGGTCTTTCCGTCTGGCAGTCAGAATCTATGCCACACTGTGAAGAAGCCACTCAAGTGACTACCTTTTGTCAAAATCCTCTACTAAGGAAAGGCTGGAGAGTCCAGGCAGTGTGGCCTTTTTTGTTTTTCAGTTGCCAGGGGACTGAGAGAGGGTGGCAGTAGTTAGGTTTGCATGAGAGGGCTAAATAGTTTGAGGGGAAACATCATTCTCTTTTAATCCCATTTTTGCATAAACTTTCTGGAGCCCCCTCATATTTCAACATTTAACAGAAAAGCGAGGGGGGGTGGAGTGGAGACCTATATATATTAGAGAGAGAGAGAGAGGAACATTCTAAGATCATTCTTAGATGACAGGAGTCATTTAGTGGAAACTAAGTTCTCATGCCACACATCTCATGTCCCCAGAATTGGGACTTCTGAACCAGTCACTTGTGGTGTGTTTTTGTCTTGTCAGTTTTGTGCATGTGTGTACCCATCCCACTGCCCTTGCCACGCTCCGTTTGCTCATCTTCTCTGACAGGCCTGTGGATATTTAAGTCCAAGAAAAGTCAAGCTTGTAATTTTACATCCCTTTTCTCTAAAACTTTTCAAGAGTGCTTTCAATGTATAATTCTCCTGCAGGACCCCAACAGAGTAAAAGGAGTAGCACCTAACCATGGACTTTCCATGCTTGCTTTCACCATCATGATCAACATCTAGATTTTTGCCGTGACAAACCATCTTCAAAATTGTCCCTGGAATCAAAAGTTGACTTGGTCTACCAAGGCCTGGTCTGTTGGTAACAGACCAGTAGACCTCAAGACCCCAGTGACATCTTGAGACAGAGGGTCATTGAGAGGATCAAAAGAAAAGTATGGAGGGAAACACATGTTATGTAAACAAGAAATATGAAAATAAGCTTACTCTCCCTCTTTGCTCAAATGGAGGTTTAGAAACTTCTCGTGCCTCAATTTTCTTATGGATAAAATGGAACTTCTCCCCTGGGCTGTGCCAAGGATTGGGGTTTAAAGGTAAATAACATAATGGATGTAAGCATCATTATGTAAATTGTAAAGCACTTGATAAAGATTAACTGTACTTAGTATAGGCTCTTAGACTAGAGGTGTTTCTATGAAGAGTCAGAAATGTTTTTTTTTTAAATGTGGACATGGGCTATGAGGAGCCATAGACCCTTTCCACAATGGCTTAGGAGGGAGTACAAAATCTAGATGGGTTTAAAATCCTACAGATAATAAGATGAGAGCATTGCCAGAGGAAAACTCCAGAAAATTACGCCCAGTTTCAGTAGCGGATCCTTTCATAAATTAAAACATGTCTGCTCTCCACTCCTAGACCCTCTTGACATTTTAAATGTCTGTGCCCGGATGAAAACTTGGAATATTTCAGACTTGCGTTTCGTTAAATGCTAGAATTCTACCTCCTTTTATCTTCTTCCCAGGAACGCCTTAAGTGTGATAATAGCTCGATCAAAATGGTTAACCGCGCGGGCTCAGGGGAGCCCCTAACTCCTTCCGTTTGGCCCCCACCCTTCCTGATGTATTTGCTTCCTTCCTGCCTTCGGGTCTGGAGGTCACCGAATTTCTTGACTTCTGTGCCTGGTTTCTTGACTCTAGTCCCTGTTCTTGCACATTTCATTAAACATTATCAGAGAAGGATGGCTCATGCACCTGCTTGCAAAACTTCCCAAACCGGGCCTCCCGGCTCCCCTGGGCCCGCGTAACAACTCACACCCACCGGGTAACTCCGGAAAGATAAAGGTCCCCGGGCCAGAACTCCGGGCCCAAGGAATCACCCCACCACCGCCCCTCTGGCTGCAGCCAATCATCAGTCGTCAGAGACTATTATGCAAATGAATCGTCTTAACCTAGCCAGTCAGAAGCCACGCCCCCTCCCCCCGCTGTGTCCTCTTTCACCCTCGTCGCGCCTAGCTGGCGGCGGCAGCGTCCCTAGTAACCGGCCAGCGGCCAACTTTCCCCCAAGCTCTGCTGGAAAAAAATAAAAACTGTTCCCTAGGGTCACGTGGGAGCGGAGCGAGCAGGCCGAGCTTGGGGACCAAAGCTGCCACACCTTCCTTCTGGGGTACTGGGCCAGGCAAGAGAGACTGAGCAATTCGCCTCCCCCAAAACAGGGGAAGTTGTCCCTGGAGCCAAAGACTTTGGAGTTCCAGTAGTAGTTCAACAGGCTCCAGGCAAAAACCTTCTTTGCTTAAGATTTCGCGCGCAGCCCGCCTCTCCGTACAAAGCTCCAACTCTGGAGCACTGAATGTCAATGTCGGGTTCCAAATTTCTGCTTTCTATGCGTTAGCAGCCAGGATATCCTGTGTCACTGACCACTCTGATTTGCCCCAATACTCCTTCTATTGTGCCCCTTAGATAGTTTGGGAAAAGATGGTATGATAAAGCAGGACCAGAAATTGCCAACCAGAATAAAGAGCAAGAGTACTAGTCTGGTAGAGATTGGTAGAACCTAGAGACTATGACTCTAAAATTACGCTTCAGGTCTGAAAATGAACTCGCCCCAGCAGCTCAATTTTCAACCAAACAATAGATAGGTCTAGAAGGGGAGCACTACTACTCATGGGTTTGCATACCTTAGATTAAGTTGAGGTCAACAGGGCAGCATTTACCCAAGAACAACAAAAAAAGTATGGATTGTTAGATGTAAAATTGATGCTCTGTTATGTAAACTCGTTCCATTTAAAATAAAAAGTTGTTTTTGGTTTTGAAAGAGTAAGTGGGTCGGAAAAGGCAGACCGGGGATATAAGATGTTTGACCTAGACCTGGATGATTCCCCGCACACTTTGAAGACTAGAAACTAGCCCCATTCCAAAAAGTGGAGATCCTGGATTACTTTGAGACAAAGTTTAAAAAATTTTTTCAAGACAATTATCCTAGAAATTTGACAAATTTGTCTCTGTTAAAGGCCATGTTGCTCAGGCATTCGCGTGTGCTAAAAATTACCACATCCTCTGCAAGTGGTCACCCTTCGTCATTTGTGCTCTCCAGAATGACAGCCCCCTGGGAACTCACTCTCCAGAGGGACTTGAGCACACCGTGTTTGAAGGGAAATACAGTGTCTTTAGTCTCTAGCATTCTTCAAACCAGGTAGCCCGAGCTCCTGCAACCACTCTTCAGATTTTGAGTTACTCATCCAGCTTTGGGCATGACTGGAAGTAACTCTAGTTTCTCCCAAAGTATGGGCTCTGGAATTCACTCCAAGTACCAGCTGGTCGGGAACAGAATCTTATGCCATGGGCACTTATTTTATTATAAACGATAACATCCAGGTCATATTTATTGAGCACCTGTGCATGAAACCTAAACTTGTCAACTCATTTCACCTTCACAATAACCTTGCAAAGGAAGTATTAGAGAATTTAAGCAGCCAAAGGGTGTGACTTGATTTTCTGACACCTAACAAATAGCTGTTTTTTATGATGTAGCCTTATACTTAATGGTCTTCTTTTAACATCTATATCCATATACTGCTGAATAATAAATTTTGTTTGTCTCTGAGTACTGGGGATCCTTTAGGACCAAAGTAAAAAACAAACAAACGAAAACAATATATTTTATATGTATCCTACTGTAATCGTTTTTTAAGTGTCAACTTGACCAGACAGTCAGCCCAGATGTTTGGTCAATATCATTATGAACTATTCATATGGTATTAAATCAGTTGGCCTCAAGTAAAACAGATTATCTTCCATAATGTGAGTGGGTCGCATTCAATCAACTGAAAACCTTAAAGACACAAAGGTAGGTTCTCTGAAGGAATATTCTTCCATTCGGCCTCCAGACTTGAATAGACATCTTGCCAGAACTCCGCTCTATTTCCCACTACCTGATCTACAGATTCTGGGACATGAGACTATCAGAATTTTCTACTTATCTCTGACCTACAGATTTTGAACTTGCCAGTTCCCACAATTATATGAGCAAATTTCTGAAAAATGAATCTATCTATCTATAAAAGGGTAAATATGTGAGTGTCCTATGGAATGGTATGAAGTCTGGATTAGCGCCTAAGTTGGGGAAAGGGTGGGGGTGGGGATAAAGAAAAAAGTATTGCTACAAAATAATCAAAACTTTTATTATTCTTGCATATGAAATTGTGAAGCTATTGTTTCTTGATATATCCTCCATATAGTTCAATACACTTCTGAAGGTAGTGTTTCCATCTCTCTAGCCCTTCCTTGAAGAGTTCTACACTCTTTGATTAACACCACCTCAAAATGGCAGTGTGCCTACCCTCCAGGAACTCAAATTATGCTCCTTTCGAAGGTTTTTTGAGTTTGGGG